TCCTCTGCTTTATATCCCTACTACTCCTTCCATCCTCACTTATCTGACTTCCTAGGTATCTAAAATCAGCCACTTCTTCTAATTTTTCGTCTCCTATCTTTATATTCGCTCTTTCCCTACTTTTTCTTCCCTTGCATATCAGTATTTTAGTTTTACTTTTATTTATTTTCATACAGTACTGATCTGTACACATTTAACAATTAACACATTTTGTAAATTTAAACAAGCTGTTCCGTTCTCAGGATTCAAATTTCTTCTTTACAGTCTTTCGAAAAAGCATTTCTGGACGCCCACAATGAGCTTCGCGCCAAGCACGGTGTTCCGCCGCTTAAATTGAATAGCACAATTAGTAAATTCAGCCAAGCACATGCAGAAAATTTGTTACGTACAGGCAAGTTTGAACATTCTTCTGATGAAACATACGGAGAGAATCTGTTTAAGTCAAATAGTTCCAATCCTGAGTTCGAGATTAAAGGCGACGAAGCAGTCTATGCTTGGTACGATGAAATAAAAGATTACAAGTTTGGAGAAGAACCCGACAACTGGTATAAAGTGGGCCATTTCACTCAGGTGATTTGGAAAGATACAAAAGAGCTGGGGGTGGGACTTGCTAGAGAAAATGGTAAAGCTTACGTGACAGGAAACTATTATCCACCAGGAAACTTTAAAAACAAGTATGTTGAAAATGTTCCCCCGCCCATTAACACCAACAAGCAGTCGAGGACTTCTTATGAACGGCCGAGATCAAACCCTATACAATCGGCTTCTATAAAATTGCCTGGTAAGTGAATCGAATAAAAACAGTCTTGGCCTTGACCTTTGCTCATCAGTAATATACACACTGTACACGGAGAGAATGAAAAAGAAAAATTTACCTAAATATTAAAGGGGTATTTACAATTTAACCCACTAGCCCGTTGCTTCGTAAGCGAAAATAATAAAAATTACAATTTGTAGACGAATTTGTAAAAATAGAATCCCAGCAGAAATAAATTTACTAGGTATTTTAGTTGATATTACAAATTTAATTGTAATAATTAAGAAACTTGAAATAATTTTTAAAAAAGCATGTCAAAATTGAGATTATTACAAGTTACCTAATAAATTCTACTATTTCTACGGCAAATTCAGTTATTTACAATCGAAACTTGTAATTTCTGCGTTGTCATAAAAATTTAGTTTTCTCTGTGTAGCTATCCGGAGCTTTTTGGTATACTACCGACAAGAGACCCATCGCAATGCATTCTAGAAAACGTCATAGAACGTCGTAGAACGTACTAAAACACCATGTATGACACCATCCATTAGCTTGTCCTTCCAAACGAAGAGACTGTATAGTTACCTCGGGTTTTCAGTGGACTACCGCCAAGAAGCCCGTCCTGGTATAGTCTTTACATTACAAATTG